CATCAACAGATGACAGATGGCTGTCCAATAATTACCATTCAATCTTCATCAATGAATCCTCTCATGGGTTTTTCAGTGCTTCTTGAGGTATAAAACAAGGTGACCCCCTCTCCCCTACTATCTTTATCTTAGCTTTTGACTACTTATCCAGAAGTTTGAATGAGTTGGCATCCAGGAAACGCCATTCTCTTTATAGTCACAGATTTCCACATTAATTAATCATCTGGCCTTTGCTGATGACATCATAATCTTTACAAAAGCTTCCAAAGTTGCAGTCAAACTATTAATGAAGAATCTTGAGACCTTTCAGGATGTTTCTGGAATGAAATTTAATAAACAGAAGTGCATTTTCATTTTCAGTAAGCAGTGCAAGAGTGAGTTTAAGTTCTGGGTTACTGATTTCACTGGTTTCAAAAACAGTTGCCATCCAATGAAATAGCTAGGGGCTGTTCTTATCAAAGGAAGAACTAAGAACATTCATTTTGATCATATAATTGACAAGGTCCAAAGTAAACTGCAAGCATGGGAGAACTCCTTTTTATCAAATGGGGGTAGGATCACACTCCTCAAAAGTGTTCTATCTGCTTTACCATCCTATTTACTGCAAATGAACATTCTGAAAAAGTCTTCTTAGAGATTTTTAAAAGGGATCTTTAATAGATTCCTTTGGGCTGGCTATAGGAAGCAAAAACATTGGACCTCTTGGGCTAAGGTGTGTAAACCTGTTGGGGAGGGTGGGTTAAGCTTCAAGTCTTTCTTCCAAATTAAGCACACTAATTTCAGGAAACTCTGGCTCAGATTCAGATCACATTCCTCCCTATGGGCTGAATTCTTGTGGGGCAAATATTGCAGGTATCATCACCCTGCCCAACTCTCTGTGGGTTTAGGAGATTCCCCTATTTTGAAAAGGATGTTAAAAGTTAGGCAGGATGCTGAACAATTGTTTATCTTGGATATTGGTGAGGGCTTGGTAAACATCTGGTGGGATAATTGGACCTTGGATGGCTGCCTTCTGCATGATTAGATTGCTCCAGCTGCCCCACCCCATCCTTCCTTTCTACAGCCCTTCTCAGCTATCCAATATTCAGAAGTTGTTTGTTAAACCTGAGGTTAAAGACAGAATTATTATAAGAAAGAACCCAATCCCCTCTCAGCCCCCTAACTGGTACACTGGGGTCATACCATCTGGAATAAATTCCTTACCCCATCCATGTCCTTTTTCATATGGAGACTCTTCTTAAAACTGATTCTAACTGATGATATTTTAAAATTGAAAGGGCTTAGGGGTCCCTCCAGATGCACTTTTTGTCAGTCTCATGAGGAAACTATTACCCATCTTTTCTTTGATTGCATTTGGGTACATGATGTTTGGTCTTTTATGATTAGTAAACTTAGGATCCAACAATGAATCTCACATGGAAGGTTTTCTATACTAGCTGGTATGATTGGAGGGGTTCTAATCTCCAGGACATCCCCAATATTATGGCATGGTTTGTGTGGATGGCTAGAAACCAGGCAAAGCATGATAACTCCCATCTTGATCCTATAAGGGTGGGTCTCAATTGTATTGCTTTCATTCAAAAACTGATTAAATTTAAAAAGTTTGAGGCTGTCTTGGAGATTGGTCCTTTTCTCAAGCCACATATTTCCAAA